TATATACACACACACACACATGCACACACACACATATGCACGCACACACAAGAGCAAAAAACACACGTAGACACATGTATGCACATGCACACTCAAACACACACACACGCATTGGTACACAAACAACCACACATATACATTAATACACAAATATAATCCTTTCAACGATCGTGGAACATGGTGAGGAAACAAACATGACAATAATATAATTATTTCTTGATGTTTCGCCCCCACACGTACAGAAACGGAAGCATGCCAGTTTGTCACAGACCCACCACCGCGCCTCAACAGTGCCTTGCATGATAGAAGTTATCACTGACACTCTTAAAAGAGTAAATGAACGATTGGTTGATAGTATGAATTTAATTTTATTTGTTCAACTGTTTTTAACGAAAGAACATTCATTGTTGAAATTTTACAGAGTAACTTGCTTTGATGTGAATACAAAAAGGATGAAATATTGAACAACACAAGCTGAACTGACATTTAAGAGGGACTATCTTTACAACACCAATTTGAAGGTGGAGAATAAAAAAATACAACCGAAGTTGCAACTGCAGAGTTAAAGTGCTGTAATTATGACCTTCATCAATACTATAAAAAACTTACATGAAATTGTGACAAACTGTAGTTTGTCCTGTGACAAACTGGGCCTGTGACAAACTGGGCAGCCCCTACAGAAACGAACTCATGCAAGGCTTGTATCATCGAAAGATGTCCCTCATAAAGAGGGGAGAGGAGAGATTGGGCATAAGTAGGAGGTATATGGCATAATTATACTTACTTCATTTATTAAACAAGTACAAACAAGTGATAATTGCATATATGCATGTAAAAACAATCAGAGCCTTCATTCTTCAGATAATCAGATAAAATCAAACTCCTCTCATCCTTGGTATTCACGCTTCTTCCATTAATAATCTAAAATGAATTAAGTATCAAAACAATAATGTGATACATACTCTATTCCTACCCACTCCTCCCCTAATATTTCAAATACATGTATGTACGTCAGGACAATTTATACAAAATAGGTGCATACATAATATATTCGTCAACATACATGAGCGTGTGCGCGTTTGCGTGTTTACGCGGGCGTTTATCCGTGTAGGTGTCTATTATGTGAAATCCTAAAGAAATGTTTTAGTTTTTAATTATTTGCTTTTTACCATTTTCTAATTCCTGTACTCTTGTTCGGCAAGGTCTCCTGGAGAAATACAATCGTCATTGTCGTTCGGGGGTTTTTTTTGGTGTGTGTGTGT